TGTCGCCGAAGGCAACACCAGACAATGCAGGCTCCTGAGTTAGCTCAGAGAAACCACGGAACCTCAAGAGAGGACAGGAGGGGTGTCTGAGGATGAGGCTCTCATTTCCAGAGCCCCACACCCTCCATCACTTTCTGTGCTGAGCTAAAGCTCAGGGCTAGGCTCGATCCCTGGTTCGGTAGGGGCTGAGCACTGAGAGGCAGCACCTGTGCAGAGAGTGAGGAGGATGAGAAGGGGAGGGGTCCAGGCCATGGTGGAGATGACCCAGAGTTCTCCTTCTGAGCCCACAGCCACAGCTGGGGAGGAACCTCCAGGCCTCTTTTATCATGGGAAGGGGAATCTCTTCATGCAAATTTACTTCCTTTATTCTTATGTCATTATTAAGTTGCTCTGGTGAGCAGTGGATGCAAATCTGTTGTCAATTCCCTAAAACATTTGTCCTAGTTCTGTCTGGAACCTGAGCCTGATGGCCTTCTCTGAGTAATTTCTCAAGATCAGAAGAAGGGTCAAGTATGTGTTAAGATTTACCCAATACAAGGGGCCTTAAAGGAAGCAACAGTACTGCCCTTTGCATTTGAGCATTACCGGGGCTTGGACTCATTAGGGGCCTCAGACCAAACCTCACAGTGCCCCCTGGTGCCCACAGTGTGAATGTCATTTTCTGTACCTCACTCGATCACTCAGAAGGGCTGCCTATGAGCCCATAATTCATGCCAGATGCATTGGTGACAGTTTTACAAGTGTTACCTCAAGAAGACTTTTATAATATGGAATAGGATGTTGGGGAGCCTCATGCTCCAAACCTATCTTTATTAGTAAATCAATATTAGGAGGTTCAATATTTTTCCCAAGTCCTCCAGACAGTAGTGAGTGGAGTCAAGATTCCACCCAGGAGATGCACCTCAGAGCGCGACCTTCCAGGCCCTCCCTGCCCCGCCTCCTGCACCCTGCTCCATCTCCTCCTTCTCCCGCATCCACGGTCTTTGAGGTCCCTCTTGTTTTTACTTGCTAAACTTCCCACAAGAAGATACAAAAGAGCTAGTGATCTAAATGGCAGAAAGATATTTTCTCACAGTTGTGAAGCTGGAAAATCCACGATAAAGGTGTTGGTGGGTTTGATTTCCCCTGAGGCCTCTCTTTTTGACTTGCAGGTCGCTGCCTCTTTGCTGTGTCCACACATGGTCTTTCCTCTGCACGCTCATCTCTGGTGTCTCATTTCTGTGTGTGCAAATTTTTACTTTCTAGGATGACATCAGTCAGATTGGATAAGAATCCACCCTAAATCCACCCTAATTTCTTCATTTTCACTTAATCACCTCTTTAAAGATGCTGTGTGCAATTTCGGTCACACACACACTGCATTACAGCTTCAATGCATGAATTTGGGAGAACATAATTCAGCCAATAACCCACCATCCTATGGACTCCAAAAAACTCTATTCCTGTTATACTGAAGTTCTCACAAAACTCAGAGCAAATGGATGAAGATGAAAGTCATGAGCTTGTGACACAGGGCTGTCTTGAGCAGAGACAAGATCCAACCAAATAGATGGTACAAGTATGTTCTTATCCAAAGAAAGACCTCAGGCCACTGTACGAGGTGAAATACAGTGTCCCTCACAAAGAGGTCTCCACCTAGAACATATGCTGGTGCAATTTTCAGACTTCAAATAACCCTAGAAACCAGGGAACATTAAACCATATCCTGTGGGACATCCCCGGCCTGCCACGTTTTTTAAATATCCCCACAACTGATAGCAGTTTTCTTATTTTTAAATGGTTACATTGCAGATGGTGCTTTCAGAACCTACATATTATCCCCAACGTTGTCTCATGTGTGGTAAAGACTAAAATACTTCTTATCTAGACATTTAAGAAAAAGTTTACCAAATTCTAAAAAGTAATGAGCCCTAAAATATTTGAGTAAATGCTGAACCTCAAGCAAATTAGGAGAAATCAAAAATATAAGTGCAACAAGATAACTTTTTATATCTCACAGGTTGGCAAAAATTTGCACTTTCACCAATGTACTCCAATCGATATTTAGGGCTGGCGCTGTAAACTGGTAGAACCCCTCTGGAGAGAAAATTGAAAACAGTGGGTAAAAGTTAGAAAGGCACATCCTCTTGACCCAACAATTTCACTTCTGGAAATGTATCCTATGTTCATATGCACACAGGAGCTCAAAGGAGTCTGCACAGGATGCTCGCTGCAGTGTGATTTGTAAGATCAAAATCATGGTGATAACCATTAGAGGTTGCCTGGCTAAAATCCTGCTGTGGAATACTCTACAGCCTTAGAATACTTGGGCAGTGCTCTATGCCTAGGATGTCCCGGGAAAGAATAAGAAATGGTGCACGTAGGGGATGGTCTTTGACTAGGGGGACCAGGACAAAAGCCTTACACTTCATTCTCTCCTTTTCCTCTGAGCTTTTCCACATCAGCCTAACAGGGTAGGGACAGAAAAAGCCCCTCAGGCAGGGCCTGGCCACCTGCTCTGGTCTCTGAATGCAGCCTGGCCTGACAACTTGGCTGCAACTTCATGACCAACCCAGAGCCAGAACCACAAAACTAAGCGACTGTCAATTCCAGATGCACCGAAGTGACAAGATCACAAACACGTGTTCTCTTACCATGCTCACTATTAGGGAGCAATTTTTATGCAACAATAGGCAATAAATACAATTTGATTTTTGAAATACATTTTCTTGTGGATATCTCAAGTACACAACATATTGATATAGGATACATGTAGAATAAAATGGTTACTTTGTTTTTCATAAAATCCATTTAATCGAAGTTTATGAAGCCTAAACTATATATAATCATGGCTATATTTACCAATTGATTAAAGAAATTTAAATATTGGATGCAACTAATGTCTGAATATTTATTAAATTAATTATCTCCTTAAGTAGATTAATAAAGATTTCAGCTACAAAAGTACTGATGTCCATGGAAATCACAAATGCTGGATGTCAATGAGGACGAAGGAATGGACTCAGTTTAACTCTTCCCTGTGGAGCCATTTTGGAAGCCTCCATCCTATAGGGAGACCATCCACTTTTGGGGAGTTTCCAGGACAGGGCCTCAGCGACGTGCGACAGGGGAATTTTGAGGGAGCACTGAGCCTGTCCCTCAAAATCTCCCCAGTTCACCAACCTGAGGTGTTGAGGAAAAGAGGAGGAGCAAAAATAAGAAAAACATGGCCAGGTGCAGTGGCTCACGTGTATATTCCCAGCACTTTTGGAGGCCGAGGTGGGTGGATCACTTGAGATCAGGAGGTCAAGACCACCCTGGCCAACATGGTGAAAACCCGTCTCTACTACATACACAAAAGTTAGCCAGGCGAGGTGGTGGGCACCTGTAATCCCAGCTACTCAGGAGGCTGAGGCAGGGAGAATTGCTTCGACCTGAGAGGCTGAGGTTTTAGTGAGCCGAGATTGTGCCACTTCATACATCATGGGTCTTAGAAATGCCTCATCCGTTATTTTGGGGCCAAGAGCAGAAAGGTTCTGCTGCAGGTGCAGGCAGCGGTGTGAGTGTCCTGCTATTGGGACTGAGAAACTAGCAGACTCTACCATAATAGAGGAACTGGACATAGGAACTGAAACCTTGTGCTTAAGGCAAAGCTTCAGAGGAGAATCCTACTGTAGACCCATGGGATTTAGCAACAAGTCTATGTCATGTGCAGTTGCGAATTATTTCTGTTTTGAAACAATCTCTGAGAAGCTACTGGGCTTCTCAGCAGTGCCAGGTGGGTCACAAGGAAGAGGGGATCTGGGCAGACTTCACAGTGTCCCCTCCTCTGGTTTGCTCTGTTGGGAATCACAGGCTGCCACACAGCCTGGGGCCAGTACCTCAGCAGGGCTGAGCAGCAGTTCTAGAGCCTGATCCAGACAGTTGATCTCAGGAGTTGCCCTGTCCCAACCATATGACCATCCAGGGGCAGGATGTGGACAGAGGTTGCCTCTGTCTGTGTTTCCACCCAGACCCTCATTCTCTAACTCACACAACAGCCCCAAGTCACCAGATGATTCTGGTCCTTCCAGGCCATGTCTCTGCCTGATGTACACTCTGTAGAGACTCCTGGAGGGGCCTGGAGGGAAGGGCAGGCTGAAAGGCTCAGATCCAGGTGAACTGGGCCAGATTCACTCATGGTTTTATCCACAGGCCTCCCGGGGCTGGAGCAAGAGGGTGGCAGAGGCTGGGAGGGTGTTTTGGTCTCACTTCCCCATCTGCCTGTGTCACTGTGGGATGTTTACTACTACTGTCCCACACCTGACAGTAATAGTCAGCCTCATCCCCGGCCTCGACCCCGCTGATGGTCAGGGTGGCCGTGTTCCCTGATTTGGAGCCAGAGAATCGCTCAGGGATCCCTGAGGGCCGTTCGCTATCAGCATAGATGACCAGCACAGGGGCCTGCGCTGGCTTCTGCTGGTACCACTGCACATTTTTACTTCCAATGCTGTCTCCCCCACAGGTGATCCTGGCCGTCTGTCCTGGGGACACTGACACCGAGCGTGGCTGAGTCAGCTGGTAGGAGGCCACAGAGCCTGCAAAGGAAAAGAAAGAAAAAAAGTAGAGGTTAACTTGCAGGTAAAGACCCTTTTTATGAAATCCCTGCCCTGCTGATGTGGACAAGTTCCAGAGAGTCTGTGAACCCTCAGCGTATCCCCCGCAATCAGCCCCAGTGCCAGTGGCCCATGGACTTTCCTGTTGCGTGGAGCCTTTGAACGGAAAACCCACTACTCTCTCCTGGCAGGTGCAGCCGCTCAGGCTCTCACAAGGCCTTGAGCAGAGTGTGCGGGGAGTTCAGCCCCAACAGCCCCCACCCTGCAGCAGGGTCATGAGCATCCTGCCCACCACAGGCAGGGCCCTCCTGAGCTCAGAGTCAAGGCCACGCTGGACCCGGAGCCCTTGGTCTGGGCAGGTTGGTGAGACCCTGGGGGCAGCACCTGTGCAGTAAGCGAGGAGGCTGAGGAGGAGAAGAGTCCCGGCCATGGCTGAGGCACCGCCAAGGCTGCTTCCCGAGGGCAGGCTGGGCAGGTTCCTCTCAGGCCTCTCTTATACCTTTGCTGAAGAGAACAGCCCGTGATGCAAATCAGCAGAGTCAGGAGCTGCTGCTGGAGGAGATCTGTGGTTTCCAGAGAAGGGCTCAGCCCAAAAGGAAACAGAGAGAGGAGGGATGGCCCCTGCTTACCCACCGCCTCAGCCCATGCGATTTTCCTTCACCCACTGATCCCACGGTGTGGGCTCACATCTTTACCCAGATTGTGCCCAGCCTTGCTGCTTGGCTGGGTTGGTCACGGAAAAGCTCAGAGCTGAGTTTCTCTTCATTCTCTCGGGGATACAAAGTTCTTCCTATGGGATAGTGCTTGGCCTTGTTCAAGAGGATGCCAGAGTCACAGTGGTGATGGGGGAATTACCTGGAGTCCACAGTCCCCTCCTCCCTTCCATCCTAGCTCAGGAGGGAGGTGGTTAGCTTTTGTCTGCATCTCTAGAAATGTCCTGGTCATAAATATGTTATGCCAGATGTGAGATGTCTGGTATTGGCCTAAATCCATTTTGAAGACACATTCCAGAGCCCAATGCAAGACCCTTTTCATTCCCACTCTACAGGGGCCAGCAGAAGCCTTGGACAGGTCCGGGCCTCACCCCAGGGCACAGCTCCTCAGTGCTAGGGGAGAATGAAATTGCTTGGTTGCCAAGTGCACACAGAGTGTTGCAAGATCCATGGGATGTGATAAGTTTCTACCTTGACTGTGAGTTCTAGTGCCAGGTCATAGGTGCTGTGCCTCGGTATCACCAGGGTGCTTTCAGGACCAGGGACAGATCAGGATGGGAAGGAGATGTTTGCTTCATGAGAAAAGGAGAAGGGACTGCAAACTCCAAGACCCTGGGAATGAGTGTTTATTATAACGAAGTTGTCTTCAGTTGCTGGGAAAATGTATCAATGGATAAAAACTGAAATCGAGGAAAGGTTAATGAGCAGGTATTTTGTGCCTCATAAGGAAATCAAGAGTTGTAATTTGGGGGGCTCACCAGGACAGACTGGGAAGAGTGGACATGGAGGAGTGGCCAGGGAAGGAGAAGTCCCTATGTCTGCAGGACAGGAGCTCCCAGAGCAAAGGGCAGAGAGGTGGGATATGTTTGACTACAGAATGGGATGGCATGTGTGACCGTGAGATGGGGGCCAGGCTATGGGAAGAGGCAAAGTGCCTGAATCTGTGTCAGAAAATTAGGCACCATCTCCAAGAGTCAGATCTGAGAACCAGGAAGTCAGAAGAATTTAAACATCAGTGTCCGGGACAAGTACTCTAAGAAAAGGAGAACCTCTTTCCCTCCAGGTCTCAGGTCACGGTCACTGACCCTCCCTGCATGGCAGCATCTCCCTGATGCCCAGGCCCACCCCATCCCCAGGAGTTTCTGCCAGGTTGCTCTCTGCTGCCCCCTGGTGGCCTCTCTACGCTGGCTGCTGGAGGCTCAGGGGCCTCCTGGGTCCAGGTGTAGATTCAGAATCTGCTGCTCAGTTCCCTGATTCCTTCATTCATGGATTGCTGACCTCAGGGAAGAAATTCCTTTTCTCCGTGTGGGCCGTTCCTGCCTCAGGACCTGGCACAAGGCGCTCAGATTCCTGATGGAAATACAAACACTCACATGTGGAGGAGGAGGTGACAGGGCCCTCCTGACTCCTGGATTTCCTCAGTGTCCCCTGGCTGGGATCCAGACAGCATGAAACTTGAAGGGGCACAAACTTAAAAACAAAAAGACCAGAAAGCCCTCTTGTTCAGGATTGAAGATAGGAAAGGAAATTTTTTGACTCAAAGTGAAGGTTGAGTCCCCTGTACAAGCAGGTGGTTGACACCTGTGTTCTCATCTCTTTTATACCAGCGCCTGTCCCTGGGTTCACACCAATGTCATAGGGATGGAGATGGGGCTTCCAGCACCAGGTCACTCCACAGCCCCTGTAACCTGAAGGGGTGCAGACCAGCACTGTTCATTCACAATATGTTGTGAGCCTCATGGGAAACCGAGTGTCTAGTTGTCGCATTAGAAATACAAAGAGAAGAAGAAAATGAGTTAAATAATATACTTTATTTACCTAGCATATCAAAAATAGTATCACTTTCATATGTAATCTAAGTACAATTATTTAGGAGACATTTTCTATACTTTGCATGGCCACTATTACTATGTTCTGAAGCATTTGTGGAGATTGTGTGGCTGATGGAGATGTGAATGGGTTTCCTGTTGACAAGCGTGGGCTGTGGTGGCTTTTTAAGTGTCAGCTTTGATAGCCTGAAGGAGGGGTGGAAAGAATGATTTTTTTCCCCAGGGTGTGGAGGGTGGAGGTGGGCAGTATCCATCCTGCAGCTCTCCCTGTGGGTGCATCTGTGGTCCCTGCATGGGGTAAGATGTCCCGGGTTTCCCTGCGGGAGGATCTGACTCCAACTCTCCCTCCAAACCCAGAGCACCCGATGAGTCAGGCTCCCTTTTCATTCCTTTCATTCCATACAAATGCAAGAAACACTCAGATCTCATTGGGCATGTGGATACTCACAATGCTAATTTAGGAATAAATGGGTGCTTTCCAGTGTACAGTGGCCTCCTGAGGTCCTGCCTGGCCCATGTTGGGGATGGTTGGTGATCTTAATTTGGGTTTCCTGGAAGCAGACTCTGAGATGGGGAACTGCATGCACAGAGGATGTGAAAGGAGGTGAAGGAGGCAACACTGGGCAGAAGGAAACCCCGACCCTCATTGAGGCCTCAGTCTTTCCCACAGGGAGCTGTGGAGCTAGGAGGAATTTCAGGTCCTCCTATATTGAGGCAGAGTCTTGAGATCTTGGCCTCTGGCAGTCATGAAACCTAACCTCACTGAGGAAGAGCATAAACCTGGAGGAGGCAATTTTCTGCTCTGAGTGGCACTTCCCAGTGAAGGCACATCTCTCAGCTGCCACAAGCTCCCAAAAGTGCTGGATGGGTGAGATCAGAAAAAAGAATCTGGGCAGATCCCACAGTGTCCACTCCACTGGATTTTCTGTAGAGAATGACATGAGCCTGAGCTGTGCAGTTCTGGTGACTGATCCAGGATATTCAGGCCAAGGACTGGCTTGTCATGACCTGTGGAAATCCAGAGACCAGCTGAGGGATGTCCACCTCGGTCTGATTATTCAACCAGACCCAATTTCCCTAAGTCACAGCTGAGTCCCCAAACCCCGATACATCCTGGTCAGCTAAGTTCTAAATCCACTCTTGATGCCCCCTCTTCAAAGTCTGCCTAGAGGGCTAGAGGGACTCAGATCCGAGGGTCTCAGATCCACGTGAATGGGGCCGGCCCTGCTCATGAATTTGTCCACAGTCTTCCTGGCTGGAGGAAATTTCCCATCCTGGTCATTTCCTCTAAATGATGGATTGTGTCATTAGGACACTTGTCACCTATTTCAGTGAGAATAGTTGAGTCATGTAAGGAACCGCTCACCCATGTGGAGTCATCAGGACATCTGGTCTCATTTCACCCATGGTACTGATCCTTCTAGACCATCCCCTTCCCCACAGTGGACCAGCCATTGCCATCCTCATCTCTGCCATTGTTTATTTATTTTCCCATCAATATTTTATGTAAAATGGTAAAAAGCACCAGGGTTCTCTATCTAGCGTAGTTTTCTGGTGACTTTTACAATTTTACATGAAATATTGATGGGAAATCCAACTGTAAGCCCCATGGTTTCTGTGAGAATCCCAGGGACACAGTGTTTGCACAGGGTGTGGTCTCGGTAGGGTGGTGGTCCCTGATCCCTGCAATGAGATATATCCTGTCACTGAGCCAAAGACCACCTGGTGGCCAGAGCTGTGGCCTGAGACTGGTGAGAATCCCCTTCCCTGTGGAGACCGTCTCCTCAAGGAGGCTGGGGATGTCCCATCCAGGAACCAGGGTCCTGAGTGCGCCACCCCACCCACCTGAGACTCCCCTGAGCACAGGAGCCCCCCTCTGAGTCAGAGTCGGCCTGGAGCTGGAAGGCAAGGCAGAGGGAGAAGGGGTGGGGGAGCCTGTGGAAGTGCCCAGGACTGAGGGCTCAGCTCCTCAGAATGTTGCTGAACAGAGAGGGACAAGACCTTAGAGGGGCAGGAGGCTCAGGCAGCAATACTAGATGAAGGGCTCAGGTCCTGGAAACCCTTTTTCCTCACACTGTGCCCTCCTCCTAGAGCACCTTGACCTCGGGGCATCTCCCAGGGAATCCCAGCCCTTTAGGAGCTGCCCAGGCTGACACCAGGGCCCAGGCACCTCCAGCTGCATTTCCCAGGTGAGGCCCTCACTGTTCCTCGTCTCCTGTCATTTGGGAGACGCCGCGTGAATGCAGCACTCAGGACGGGTTTACTGCAGCCCGAGGGGATAGGATGCACTTTACTGGGCTTCCAGACCCAGGACTGATCCTCAAACACCTGTTGAGCCTTCAGGGCAGGCCTCCCTCTTAGGCTCCTCCTGGGCAGCCCCAGACTAACTTCTGGCTGCAGCTCTGCTGCCCCCTGCTGGTGAAGAAGATGGAACCCAGGAGCTTCCCTCCTCCAGGTGACCACAAAACACCTGACACCTGGGAGGATGAAAACTATGGAGTCCAGCCTCAGTCTGTGCCGTATGTGAACCCCTCAGGCTCAGCACAGAGAGGTGGCATATATGGTTGCAGGGAGGTGGGGTAGGTGCATTTCTGGTAACTGAGTCTCAGGTTGAAACGCTCTTCTCTGTTCCATGGTTTTTGATCACAGAATGGAGAGTGCAGGATAAACTGTAGCTCTTCTGGGAAAAACCTAAGTTCAGTGAAATACGGTTCTACCCACATGTACTCCTGCTTCCCATGTATACTGAACACAAGATTGATTTTCACACCCCAATAAGAACGGCTGCACTGTAACTGGAGCACCTGATGTTTCTGTCACTAAACCTCAGTTGTGTACTTGAACGATCATAACCGTCATTGTCATGGTATTTTTTCTATGGATCATAAGAACAGGAAGATTAAGGTAGAAAATTGTGACCATAAGTAGGTGGGACCTTTCCGTGTTCAACCCACAAACGAGAAACTCTATAGCATTCCCTACAACTGTGGTTTAATCAGCATGGTTTTATTTTTCCTTATGAACTTAAATATTTATCAAAAGTTAACATTTCAGTGACTAAAATTGATAGTTTTCTTCCATGAGATTTTGATCATTTTTACATGTTTGATGTGAAACTCTGCTTTTTATTGCTAGAAGGCCTTTTCCTCCCTGTAGGAATAATCAAAAGGACTTTTAATCCACATTAGGCCCCTGTTGGATCGCAGGCCCCAGGTGGATTCCTAGGCCCCAGGTGCACATCAGGCGCAGGTGTACAAGCAGGCCCTGGGTGGACTTACCTGTGTACAGGTAAGGAGCTGACCTGGGGGGAGGGTGAGCAGCCAGCAGCCCAGGCGATTCCGAGTAGGTCTTATGGAACGAAGGAGCCAAGGATACGGAACCTTAAAGAAGTGAGTTCAATTCCTTGGTGACAGACCTAACAGAACTTAGAACTCTGGGAACCAGGCACCCACATCCTAGGGACAGCCCCGCAGCCTGCTCCCTTGGTGGGAGACGCTCAGGAGAGCATGATGTTCTCATGCTGCATCCCCACATCTCGAGGTTCGTGCTTCAGGAGGGCCCAGAGCGAGAGCCTTTTCCCACGATGCTGATGCAGGCTCATCCCTCACCCAGGTGCCTCTGGCTGAAGGTGCCCCCAGGTATCACAGGGCAGCCCAGAGCAGGCCCCACCCAGGCCAGGCCTCACCTGTGATCCCATTGGGGCCATATGTGGGCATTGTTCTTGTCCAGCTGGAGGCTCTGCTCTTCCTCGAGGCACAGGCACACGGTGAGGTGGTCTATAGTGTCAGAGACTTTGCGGCGGGGGGCGGGGAGCGGGTGTTTTCCCTATAGACTCAGAGACTTGGCAGGGGTAGTGTTTTGGAATGCAATTCCTTAAATTCAGCGTGGTTGATTCTGTGCGTGGAAATTCCACTGGAAAGTGACTGACATTGGTGACTCTTTGTTCTTTTTCAACTCCTGCTCAATGTACAGCAATACAGGACCTTCCAGCACCATCTGATGAGCCAGTGCCAGCACTAGGGGAAGAGCCCCCGTCAGGGACAGAACTGGAGCTAGTGGCAGCTTCAGAGCCCTCCTGCCCCTGCCCTGGTCTTGCCCAGCACTAGCCCATTAAGCAGCTGCCTGACCTCATGGCACCTGCTGTAGCTATAGGCCTCAGCTCTGGAGCTGAAAGTATGGCTGGAGCAAGAGGTAGAAGAGAGGAGGGGGCCAGCATGGCCCCAGCCAGGATCTCCCACGCTGCTGTCAGTCCTGGGCACAGTGGGAGACATGGAGGCATAGACCCGGGTATGTGGCCTGAGCTTCTCTGCCTCACTGGAGAGAGGCTTCTCTCATTTGGCAGAGCTGCAGCCCAGCAGCTGGAGCGCCTGGTGCTGCTGGGATTGTTTGCATGAGGCGCTGGAGGGCAGGAAAAGAAGCCTGCCAGGAGGGGTTCCAGCAGCTCCTCCTGCTCCCAGAGGTGGCTTCTTCCTCCAGGCATGACGGTGTGTGCTCAGCTGGGCATCTGTGATGTTTCCCCTTGAGGCGCTGCCCAGGACGCACTCTACTTGACAGGTGGGTATGGGTTAGGAGGCCAGGGGCATCTCCAAAGGGTATAGAAACTGAAGCTTCGAAACTCAGCACTTGTGCCCCAAAGTCACCATGCCATGCCGCCACTTGCCCAGAATTTATTCATAGTGTTAAATTAAAATTTCTACAATGGCATTTGAATAAATGTTGACTTTTTGAAACTTCATGTCTTCTTTAACTCCCTGATGTTGTCAGATGGTGTTTTTGAGGTTATCCTGAAATCTCTGATAGTTGTATCACTTTGCTGTGGTTGTTTGTGTGATGGAATTACCATCTAATCAACTGTTATTGGAAACTTTTCAGGCACGGCTTTTAGGAGACCTTGACCTACTTTAGCTTGTTTTTACTCTCTGGTTTATTGTGGAAAGAGGGATCACGTAGGTCCATTCCTCCAGCAGATCAATCGCCTCTTGCCATCAAAGATTTGGCATCAGTGATTCCAGAAATTATGTGTACAAGTTGTTATGTTGGTACTTTAGCTAATTTCTGGGTGCCAACATAGAACGTCATAGACTAGGTAGCAGGGAAACAAATTTATTTATCATGGTTCTGGAGATGGTAAGAACCAAGGTCAAATGGTCAGCAGGTTTCATGTCTGTTAAGGGCTTGCTTCCCGGTTCATAGGCTGTCATCTTTGTACTGTTGTCATCACATGACCAAAGGGATGAGGGAGCTCTCAGCAGTCTCTGTGATAGGAACACTGTTTACATTCATAGTCTCAGCTTTCATGACCTAATCACCTTCCAAGGCCCCACCTCCAAATCCCATCACATAGGGAATTAGATTTTAACACATGAATTTGAGGGGACAGTAAGATTTTGTCTATAGCATCAGGTCTCCCTGAGTCCTTTGCACTCACAGGAAATCTTTAATCTTCTACAAATATTTGCAGGTCCTCTCTGGGTTTAGAGAAATCTTTAATTGCAGCTCTTGATTCAGCTTGGTCCAAGCTTAAATTCTACATTTGCCCGCATAACTTGCTCATGGGACAGAGGGAACTTTAGTGGCAACTGACCATTTGGAGCTTTAGGAGAATCGATGGAGGAGGGCTTGGATGTGGATGAAGAGAAGTGGAGGAAGGAGAGGACGATGGTGCAGATGGAGAGAGAGCAGAAAGTGAAAGGGGAAAGGACCTCTGGATAACAAGAGGGCAACTCTGGTCATCTAGATAACTCTGGTCAACTAGAGGGCACAAAGGTTATTTTTCCTTGGATTCTAAACTCGGATCCCATATTACATCAGCATCACCTGAGGAGCACATTTTTCAATGCATATTCCTCAGTTCTGGGCATTTTGATTTCATAAATCTGGAGTTATACCAATTTATCTGTACTTATCATAATAATTTTGGATAACTCCAATGAAATTAGACAATAAAGCAGAGCTTGGTAACCGCTGGTTTGGGATGTATACCTGGAAGACATTTGATTATATAAAATAATCACAGAAAACTGAGGAGGAATCGTTTATTTAAAAATGCTTGCATATAATTCAACTCTTCCTATGTGTGTAGTTTGACCACATATTTGGTCTCTACAATACCAAGATTGTAAATGTGCAGAAAGTCTTTTAAAAATCAAGTGGACAGAAGAAAGCAGTTGCAGAGAAAAGACAACTGACAATTGTCTGGTAAGAAGAGAACAGAAGAGAAGGGGAAGGAAGTAGCATATTTTTGTACATTATTTGATGGCATCTAAATTATATGCTCAAATGGTGTTTGTAAGAAAGTTAATAATACAAGTCGTCAGAGTGTAGAGAGTGTAGTGCCAACACTGATTTGCTGGGATAGAGAAGTGTACTCTGTCTTGATGCGTAATGCTAACCAGGTTCAAAAGAAAGAGTCATTCTTTAAGAAGTGTGAGTTGTATTGCTGCTGAATTATTTTATCCCATGCCTAGTTCAAAATAAAAGGGCTATAAAGTGCTTAGGTTGAACATAAAGTCCTCTGCTATCGGTAACATCTTCAGGAGCCGTATTAAAGGAGGGACAGGTGGCAATGCTGGAGTGGATGACTCTTTGTATTAAACCAAATAGTATGGTACATATTTTATTAAGAAATCTGTTAAAATGAAGTAAAACTCAGGTTCATGTTCTTAATAGGCACACTATTTGCTATAGCAACAAGAGCAAAAGGCCTAAGTACCAAGAATATACATTAACTACAAACATTTTCATATTAAAAAAACAATGTGAGCATCTATATATGACAGTAACTCCTGTGCCCAAAATAGTTTTAACTGAGATTGAAATAATTTTCTACATAACATGCTATCACTGTATTCTGAGATGATACATTATTTGTGTATGGACACTATAAATATTAACTTATTTAAGTCATTCATTATTTATTCAAAAAATGATTCTGTGGGATCTACAAAATGTTGGTTATGGCACTGGATGTAGAAGCAAGACAAAATATCATTTTTTTAGTTTATGATTAAAAACAAAAATATATGTTAGGTAGAGATTGTACTACTAAAAATAGGCAGAGACTGACTTGCTAATAAAACATTCAGGAAACCAAATGTGATAATTTTTAATAATAATCAATATTTTAATACAAGTCTCTTGTTTTTTCTCATGAAAATACATTACGATGTGGAATTTCTGGTGTCTGGCATCTGAATGTTTAAGTATAGCAGGCGTGGTGAGTTTTCCAAAGACATTTTACCAGCTTACTTACTCTTCGGTAACTCAATAAGATATTACGTGGAACCACATCCTCTCCAGCAACCTCTAGTGTCAATCTTTGTAAAGTGTGTCCATTAAATGGGTGTGGGTTTTGCAGGTGATTATTCTGTTATTGAAAGATAATAGGATACCCAGCTTTAAAAAGCGAGGCATGCAGTGGTGCATGTTTAGAGTGCGTCCTGACCCCGGAATTAAAACTAATCCGATTTGTGCCTCCACTGTTCAATAAAATATTTCCTTAAGAATCCAGAGATCAGGTATTCCTTTGGGAAATCACTCCAATATGGTTTCTCACCTACTCACTGCAAGAAAATTGCTCTTATCAAAGCATAAACGGTATCCGTGTTGTTAAATGATGAATTGAAGCGTAATTCCTCAGCCTTTGTCTTAATTTATTTATCAGTAGCATTGAAAGCAGTCGATCTCTCCCTCTTGTTTTCAAAACTTTCTTTGAGAGAATTCCAGAACACTTAACCTACTTTCCTCTTGACATTTTTGATAATTATCCCTAGTACTTTTGGGCTGGTTTCTTCTCATCTTTCTACTTTTTGGGTGTTAGATAACCACTAGACTCAGGATTTTCACTTATGTTTCTTATCTTTGCTTTCTTACTAATTTTTGTGTCATACATTCCCTGATATTTTCTTTGATACCATAACACTAGACCACACCCAACACTGTCTGGCTTTTCCACTTGGATGTGGTTTAGGAATCTCAAAATTAATAAGTCCACATGGAGCCATTGACACTCCCCAAACTTTCTCTTCCCCATTCTGGTTAATGGCACTTCCCATTTTATAATTTCTCACCTCAATATTCTTGGTGTCCCCTTTTAATTCTTTGTCTCTGGAGTTCTCTCTGTGTCATTGTCTCTCTGTATCTGTCTGGTTCTCATTCTCTCTCTCTTTCTCTTTCTCTCTCTCTCTCTCTATCACACACACACACACGCATACACACACACACACACATTTTCAGATCTGACACGTATGAAAATTCTGCCAGCTTTACCTTTAAAGTGAAGTCATTCCAAATGGTATCTGCAAATTCACCTTCCCACCCTCACCACTTGGTGACTATAGTACTTCCCTCACAAGACCAAAGCTCTACTGCAGAGATTTCTTGGGGAAATAAAGAGAACAATTACACATTCTTATTTCAGGGACCCTCAAAATACAGGCTAGCCATATTCTCTATGAATTCAAGTTTCTATCATCGCTCTATTTTTCAATCCCGACTCCACACAGCAAACACAGTATGCAGTTAGAATTCCAATCCATATCACAACACTCCTGTTTTAAAGTCCCTGATTAATTACTTCTTTTCTTCCTCGTTAGGATTAAAGCTTAATGAAGCTGGGCAACTTTGTATATTTTACCACTGACCTATCTTCAGAGCTGGAGGTCACTTGGTGTAAAGTAAATGATCAGTAAATATTTTCAAATAGCAGAATCAATTATAAATACTTTTACTTCTTTGAGTATACATTTAGACTTAAAAATCAAGAAAATAGATTCATCAAGATAATTCTGTTTTGATATTGTTATCTCTTGATTAGATTAGCTTCTTAGTAAAATTTCAGTGTGGGAAACTGTACGCATTCTCTAAATTTTAAAATAAAATGCAAGGAATTTAAATATCTGCTCCTTTTATTTAAAGGATAAAAAAAGACAAGTTTATCTTTTAAAATACGTTTTGTATGTGCATACAATCTGAATGTATTTTTCTCTCTTAACCCCTGAATCCTTTTTAAAGGTATTCATGTCCTCATTTTTTAAAATCCACTTCAATGATAACATTTTAAAATACATTTGCAACTTCCTTAAGAATATCTTGGCATTCCATTGAACAGCTTGCCAAATAAGACATTAGATTAGCAGTACAATTTCCTCTTAATTCTTTAATTTGTTTCATCAAATTTATAAATTTCCTACTCTCAACTCATAATTTCATTCAAGTATAATACATCCTACTTGACCTTTGTGGGGTTTTCATATCATATATTTATTATTGAAAATGGTTTTGATATCTGAATCCGAATTTTGTAATTGTATTGCTGGTTAGACTGCTCTGTAAAATCTTTTATTGTTTTGATTCTGTTGTTTATTGATTACAGAGTGGCACTACTATTGTAAAGCTTGAAATATTTTCCTTCCTTCCTTCCTTCCTTCATTCCTTCCTTCCTTCCTTCCATTTTCTTTCTTCCTTCCCCTTCCCTTCCTCCTTCCTTCCTTTCTTCCTTCCTTATATAAAGCTGTTCTCACATAATGAGAATTGAAGTGAAAAAAATAATACTAACCTCAATATAGAATGATTGGTTCATTATTTGATATACCCTGTGACTTTATAACATAAACATTTGTGCTATCATTCCATGAGGTTCATCATTTGTTACATTTAAAACCAGAATAATTTCAAATTTGATGTGAAATGTGTCCCTTAGGGAAATAAATTTCAAGGTACAATCCCCTACTATCTATATCTATATCTATATCATCTATATCTGTGTTAGGCCACAGATGCAAAGGCATTCTTCTAGGCCTTCTAAATTTTATTGAATCACACAAACATTGACACTATGGTGATAGACACAGAGAGATGTTAATATTATTCAGAAAACCATTTCATTTCTAGTGTGATGAATGACCGATTCAGGTGTTGGTGGTCTTAGGCATTATTTCCCAATAAGGTCCATATTTTTGCATGTGAAAAATAGTTACTAGAGGGAGAGAAAAGACAGAGCACTCTCATTGTTCCCAGAGAATCAGACTAGAGAAATATGAAGTCACTTATCTTCACCAGCATTTGTATTTTTTGTCTTTTTGCTCATAGCCATTCCAGGTAGGGTGAGATTGTATCTCACTGGGGTTTTGATTTTCATTCACTTGCTGATTAGTGATGTTGAACATTTTTCTCATATGTTATTGACCATTTGCATGTCTTCTGTTGAGAAAAGTGTATTCAAATTCTTGGCCCACTTTTTAATGGTATTATTAATTTTTTACGCTAATGAGTTGTTTCAGTTTTTAAAAAAATTTTTTATACTGAGTATTAGCTCTTTGTCTGGTGAGTAGTTTGCAAATATTTTCTGTTCTTCTACACATTTTCTTTACTTTATTGATTGTTTCCATTGCTTGTCAGAAGCTTTTTAGTTTAATAAAGTCCCATATCTCTATTATTTGTTGTTGACTTTGCTTTTGAAGTGTTGGCCATACCATTTTTATCTAGACCAACGTCCTAAAGAACTTGTTCTTCCCCTGTGTTCTCTAAGTTTCCTTCTAGTAGTTTTACAGTTTGGGGTCTTATATTTGGATCTTTAATCCACTTTTAGTTGATATTTTTATGCTGAGAAGGGTAAGTGTCTAGTTTCCTTGTTCTGTACATAAGTATCCAGTTTTCTCAGCACCATTTATTGAAAATTGTGCCATTTTCTCAGTGGATGTTCTTGTCATCTTTGCTGAAAATCAGCTGGGTATAGATATTCAAATTTATTTCTGTGTTCTCTATTCTGTTATATTGGTCTCAGTGTCTGATCAAATGCCCATACCATCCTGTTTTGGTTACTATAGTTTGTAATGTATTTTAATTCTAGTAGTGTGATATCTTCAGCGGTGTTCTTTTTGCTCAGTATTGCTTTGGCTATTCAGGGTCTTTTCTGGTTTCATACCAATTTTTTTACAGATTTTTTTATTTCTGTTGAATAATGTCATTGGTATTTTGATAGGAATTGCATTGAGTTTGTAGATTACTTTGGGTAGTAAGTTTTCTCATTTAATATTTTCTAAATATAACTTCACTGACTCAGGCTTGTATTACTTCTAATAAGAAATCCACTATTATCTGAGAATGGTTAATGGGTCAAAAAACCTGTAAGAAATAATAAATAAGGCCACTATTTGACAGCACAACAGGATGACTATAGTTAATTACAAATTAATTGCACGTTTAAAAAAGCGGAAAGAGTGTAATTGAATAGTTTATAACTCAAAGGATAAATACTTGAGTGAATGAATATCCTGTTTTCCATAATGTGGTTATTTCACGTTGTGTGCCTGTACCAAAACATCTCAGGTACCCAATAAAATATACTCCTACTGTGCAGACACTAAAATTTTTTAAAAAGTTAAAAACCAAGCCTTTTCTTGTCATTGTGTTGTTCACCCGTATCTGTCTCTCTCTTTCTCTGTGTGTCTTTGGGACGTGTTAACCTTTTTGAATAGTAGGTTTCTAGTTTTCACAAAATTTGGGTAATTTTGGTCCTTATTCTTTCAAATTGTATTTCTACCTTTTCTCTTCCTGGTCAATCTTATCTCCTTTAATGACTTTAATATACCAATTTAGGCAGTTGAAAATGTCCTAAAGCTCACTGATACTCTGTTTATGCTTTTGTGCTTCATCTTGAATAGCTGTCATTGCTATATCTTCAAGTTCACTCATCTATTCTTTACAGCATCTAATCTGCAATTAGTCTCATTCAGTGTATATTTTATTATGCCATATTATGGATTATTTATAAAAGTATAACTTGGGCCTCTCTTTATCTTTTTTATGTCTCTATTTAACATGTTTGTTCAATCCTGTAACCTCAGAAACAAGTAGAATAGAATAGAATGATGAGAATTGCTCTTTTTATACTTGTTTACAAGGTCTATCATGTGTGCAACTTAATTATCACCTTGGATTGATTCATTTTTCTGTTTGATATAGCACATATTTTCTTGTCATCTTGCAGGAAATATTGATGGGATGAAAACATTGTGCATTTTTCCTGTTGGATTTAGAATTATTTTACATTTCATTCTCTACTTTTGTCTTTTATAATTGAATTCAGTAAAGTTACATGAAAACTGCTTGGATTTTCTGTTTGCTTTTACACTTTCATAGTTGAGACCTGAACAGCCTTTTGTCTAGGGTCACATTTCCCCAGTACTGAGGCAAAGCTCTTCTGATGAGTCAACCTCGTGCCCTGTAACTCAGGCCCTTCCTCTGAGACTGTAGTGTGTGAGTGTGTGAGTGTGTGTGTGTGTGTGAGTGTGTGAGTGTGAAAGTACGTGTGTGTGAGAGAGTGTTACGTGTGTGTTTGTATATGTGTGTGAGAGTGTGTGTGTGTGACAGTGTGTGCGCACACATTCTGAGGTATGTTCCCTCAAGTGTCTTTGGGTGGTTCTTTTCTCTTTCATAGAGTTTCTTCACACAGAAGTGCTCATCAGTGCATGAATATTTGCAGACTTCAGAGTTCTCTCTTTGTGCAACTCTCTCCTCTTTGATACTTTTCCCATTAGACTGTTTTATTTGCTTTTTAAGTTTTGAGATCCTTGAATCCTACTCAGAGAGGTAGGATTCCATGCAGTAGGGTTTCAGGATATACTCTCAGGAGAGAAGTGTGGGAGGTGTGACTGGGAATGTGTTACAATTGACTGCTCAGCTACAAGGCATTTAAGGTCATCCTAAATTAAAGCACGGCTTTGGGATTAAGGCATCAGGCAGTCATTGCTCTTGAACCACATTCTGAAGGAGGGACACCTTTGTACGAAGCCGTTCTTTGCACTCAATGGCATTTTTCAGAGGGGAAGAGCTGTATGAAGCCAGGGATGCCAAGGCATGCCACAGTGCTCACTAGGAAACTTTCCTGTTCAGAACGTGAGATGCATGGAGCTGGGGCTTGAGGGTCTCAGTTAAACATGGGCAGTTCAGACCAATAATCCAGGGCATTTGGCCCACAGGGTCCAGGCATTGTGTTAGATCCAGTCACCACACAAGAGGAACTCCAGGGACCGTGGCCAACCAACGGCTGTGTGCCTCCCTCTTATTGTCCTTCCACTTAGATCATCTTCAGCTAAGACACCCTCAGTCCAAACAACAGCAGAACAGAGTGGTCCTTAGAGCCTCAAATCCTATACTGACCCAACTTCTGCAGAGCCTGCCTAGAGAGTTGCAGGGAAGGGCAGCCTGGAGGTCTCAGATCCAGGTGAAATGGGTCAGCTCTGCTTATGACTTTGTTCACAATCCTGCTGGGGCTGGAGAGAGAGGGTGACACAGACAGTAAAGGGGTTTCTGTCTCGCTTCCGCATCTGTCTGTGTCACTGTGGGATGGTCACCACTGTTATCCCAGGAGCCACAGTAATAGTCAGCCTCATCTTCCACCTGAGCCCCAGTGATGGTTAAGGAAGCTGTGTTTCCTGACCAGGAGACAGAGAATCGGCCTGGGATCCCTGAGGGCCTATTGGTGTTACCATAGATGACCAGCACAGGGACCTGGCCTGGCTTCTGCTGGTACCAGCTTGCATAATAGCTGCTGAGGCTGTCTCCTTGGCAGGTCATGCTGACTGTATGTCCCAAGGCCACAGACAATGCAGGCTCCTGAGTCAGCTCAGAGGAAACCACGGAACCTGCAAGAGAGGACAGGAGGGGTGTCTGAGGATGAGGCTCTCATTTCCAGAGCCCCACACCCTCCATCACTTTCTGTGCTGAGCTAAAGCTCAGGGCTAGGCCGATCTCTGGTTCTGTAGGGGCTGAGCACTGGGAGGCAGCACCTGTGCAGAGAGTGAGGAGGATGAGCGGGGGAGGGGTCCAGGCCATGGTGGAGACGACCCAGAGCTCTGCTTCTTAGCCCACAGCTGGGGAGGAACCTCCAGGTCTCTCTTATCATAGGAAGGGGAATCTCTTCATGCAAATTTACTTCCTTTATTCTTATGTCACTATTAGGTGGCTCTAGTGAGCAGTGGATGCAAATCTGTTCTCCATTCCCTAAAACATTTGTCCTAGTTCTGTCTGGGCCCTGAGCCTGATGGCCTTCTCTGAGTAATTTCTCAAGATCAGAAGAAGGGCCAAGTGTGTTTTAAGATTCACCCAATACAAGCAGCCTCAAAAAAAGCAACAGTCATGCCCTTTGCACTTGAGCATTACTAGGGGCTTGGACTCATTAGGGGTCTCAGACTAAATCTCACAGTGCCCCCTGGTGCCCACAGTGTGAATGCCATTTTCTGTACATCGCTAGATCACTCAGAAGGGCTAGTTATGAACCCATAATTCATGCCAGATGCATTGGTGAGAGTTTTACAAGTGTTACCTCAAGAAGAATTTTATAATATGGAATAAGATGATGGGGAGCCTTATGCTCCAAACGTATCTTTATTAATGAATCAATATTAAGAGGTGAAATGTTTTTCCCAAGTCTGCCAGACGGTAGGGAGTGGAGTCAAGATTCCATCCAGGAGATGCACCTCAGAGCCTGACCTTCCAGGCCCTCCCTGCTCTGCCTCCTACACCCTGCTCCATCTCCTCCTTCTCCCACATCCAAGGTCTTTGGGCTCCCTCCTGTTTTCATTTGCTAAAGTTCCCACAAGAAGATACAAAAGAGCTAGTGACCTAAATTGCAGAAAGATATTTTCTCACACTTCTGAAGCTTGAAAATCCACAACAAAGGTGTTGGTGGGTTTGGTTTCCCCTGAGGCCTCTCTCCTTGGCTTGCAGGTCGCTACCTCTTTGCTGTATCCTCGCATGGTCTTTCCTCTGCACACTCATCTCTGGTGTCTCATTTCTGTGTGTGCAAATATTTACTTTCTAGGATGACATCAGTTAGATCGGATAAGAATCCACCCTAATTTCTTCATTTTCACTTAATCACCTCTTTAAAGACGCTGTATGCAATTTTGGTCACACACTGTGCATTACAGCTTCAGTGCATGAATTTTGAGGAACACAATTCAGCAAATAACCCCCCACCCAATGGACTCCAGAAAACTTACGTCTTTCTCCCTTGCAAAAATATTTACCTCAACCCAGTAGCCAAAATCCTAAACTAACTCAGCACCAACTCTAAGACCCAACACTCATTTATAGATCATCCAAATCAAGTGTGAGTGATTCCCCAGGATGATTCATCCTGAGGGTTTAAAGGAAAACAGCTTTGGGGGGTTTCATCTCCAGTCTCTTGTTATCATCCGGGTTCCAGAAAAATAAACTTCTACTTCATTAAGATTGAAATAGGTCAGGCGCGGTGTCTCATACCTGTAATCCCATCCTTTTGGGAGGCCAAGGCAGGTGGATCACAAGGTCAAGAGATTGAGACTATCCTGGCCAACACAGTGAAATCCTGACTCTACCACAAATAAAAAAATTAGCTGGGTGTGGTGGCATATGCCTATAATCTCAACTACTCAGAAGGCTGAGGCAGGAGAATCACTTGAACCCGGGAGGCGGAGGTTGCAGTGAGCCGAGATTGTACTACTGCACTCCAGTTGGCAACAGAGCAAGACTTTGTCAAAAAAAAAAAAAAAGAAAGAAAGTGAAATTCACTGTACATTCCTAAAATAATTTAGAGGACATAATAATTTAAAGGCCCATAAATTAAATTATATAATCAGTAGCCATGGGCTATTCTGACAGCATTTGAAAAGTGTCGTAGTTGATACGGAAAATATAACTCCCAAAAACCCAAAAATCGTATTGTTTTAGAGCAGAATATGTCCGAGTTAACTAATATATATTGTAGACAGAAATAATATAGTCCAAAGAAAATTAAACACTTGTAAGCACATTAAATTACTAAATCCAATTTTAGCATTGAGCATCAACATTTTGGTGTGCAAATAAAGCAACCTCTCAATGGTTATATAAAAAGGCAGTTGTTGCCTACTTCCTGTTACAGTTTATTGGTGGCTTAATTGTGCTTTCACAGTTGGAGAGAAGGATGTTCCAGAAGATGTTTCTTTTATCTAAGTAAAAGGGAAAATACTCTTTTACACAAAAGAATAATTTGCAGGATAACATATGTCCACTCTCACCATCCTGTTCTTGTCACGGCAACTTAGTTGGGGGACTTACAGTCTAAAATCTCAAACTCTTTCTTTATCCCATTGTTATATTCTGAGTTCTATAATCTGATTTACAAAAATCTGCAATATGTTTAAAACTTGAACTTCATTTATTTGTTTGTTTATGATACTCAGAACACCAACAATCTTGTGTGTTTTTGGTTTCAGCTACAAGGCTGAGTATAGGACCTTTTTTTTGCTTAGTCTACATTGGATCTCACCCGACTTGGTACAAGCTTCCTTGCACATTTGCCCCTAACTCTCTCTCCAAGTTTCTACCGAGGAGGAGTCTCTCTTCCTGTTATACTAAAGCTCTCACAAAACTCAGAGGAAATGGGTGAAGATGAAAGTCATGAGCTTGTGACACGGGTCTGTCTTGAGCAGAGGCAAGCTCCAATTAAATAGATGGTACAAGCATGTTCTTATCCAAAGAAAGACCTCAGGCTGCTATAGGAGGTGAAGTGAATTACAGTGACCCTCACAAAGAGGTCTCCACCTAGAACATATAATGGTGCAATTTTCAAACTTCAAATCACCCTAGAAACTAGGGACTGTTAAACCATATCCTGTGGGACGTCCCTGGTCTGCCACCTTTTTTTTTTTTAATGTCCCCAGAACTGACAGTGGTTTTTATACATTTAAATGGTTACTTTGCAGATGGTGCTATCAGAACCTACATATTATCCCCAACATTGTCTTGTGTGTGGCAAAGGCTAAAATACTTCTTATCTAGACATTTAATAAATAGTTGAACAAATCCTAAAAAATAATGAGCCCTAAAATATTTGCGTAAATGCTGAACCTTAAGCAAAATAGGAGAAATCAAAACTCAAAGTGTAACTAGATAACATTTTATATCTCACAGGTTGGTAAAAATTTGCACTTTCACCAATGTACTCCCATCGATATTTAGGGCTGGCATTGTATCCTGGTAGAACCCCTCTGGAGGGGAATGTGAAAACAATGGGTAAAAGTTAGAAACGAACATCTTTTTGACCCAGCAATTCCACTTCTGGAAATTTATCCTACAGTCATATGCACACAGGAACTCAAAGGAGTCTGCATAGGGATGCTCGTTGTAGTGTGATTTGTAAGATCAAAATCATGGTGATAACCATTAGAGGTTGCGTGGCTAAAATCCTGCTGTGGAATACTCTACAGCCTTAGAATGAATGGGCAGTGCTCTATTCCTAAGATGTCACAGAAAAGAATAAGAAATGGTGCATGTATGGGATGGTCTTTGACAAAGGGGGACCAGGACAGCCCCCTTACACTTCACTCTCTCCTTTTCCTCTGAGCTTTTCCACATCAGCCAAACACGTTAGGGACAGTGGAAGCCCCCTCAGGCTGGGCCTGGCCACCTGCTTTGGCCTCTGAATGCAGCCTGGCCTGACAGCTTGGCTGCAACTTCATGACCAACCCAGAGCCAGAACCACAAAACTAAGCTGCTCTCAATTCCAGATGCACCAAAGTGACAAGATCACAAACACGTGTTCTCTCAACATGTTAGCTATTAGAGAGAAATTTTTATGCAACAATAGATAATAAATACAATTTGGTTTCTGAAATAAATGTTCTTGTGGATATTTCAAGTATACAACATGTTGATATGGGATACACATATAGTAAAATGGTTACTTTGTTTTTCATAAAATCCATTTAATCAAAGTTTATGAAGCCTAAACTACATACAATCATGGCGATGTTTACCAGTTGACTAAGGAAATTTAAATATTGGATGCAACTAATGTCCGAACATTTTGTCAATTCATTCTCACTTTTAGTAGATTAATAAAGATTTCAGCTACAAAAGTATTGACATCCATGGAAATCACAAATGCTGGATGTCAATGAGGAAGAAGGAATGGACTCAGGTTAACTCTTCCCTGTGGAGCCATTTTGGAAGCTCCCATCCTGCACGGAGACCATCCACTTCTAGGGAGTTTCCAGGACAAGGCCACAGTGATGTGAGGCAGGGGGATTTTGAGGGAACACTGAGTCTGTTACTCAAAATCTCCCCAGCTCAGCAACCTGAGGTATTGAGGAAAAGAGGAGGAGCAAAAATAAGAAAAACACAGCCAGGTGCGGTGGCTCACATGTGTATTCCCAGCACTTTGGGAGGCCTAGGTGGGTGGATCACCTGAGATCAGGCGGTCAAGACCAGTTGGCCAACGTGGTGAAACCCCGTCTCTACTAAATACACAAAAGTTAGCTAGGAGTGGTGGTGGGCACCTGTAATCCCAGCTACTCAGGAGGCTGAGGCAGGGAGAATTGCTTGAACCTGAGAGGCTGAGGTTGCAGTGAGCTGAGATTGTGCCACTTCATAAATCAAGGGTCTAAGAACTGTGTCCCCCATTGTTTCGGGGCCAAGAGCAGAAAGGCTCTGCAGCAGGTACAGGCGGGAGTGTGAGTGTCCTGCTATTGGGTCAGAGAAACTAGCATACTCTACCATAATGGAGGAACTGGACATAGGAACTGAAACCTTGTGCTTAAGGCAAAGCTTCAGAGGAGAATCCTACTGTAGACCTGTGGGATTCAGCAACATGTCTATGTCATGTGCAGTAGAGAATTACTTATCTTTTCAAAACAGCCTCTTTTATGTTCATGGGCCTTGTTATATACAGAACCACATGAGACAGCAGTGACCGCACAGCCAGACCAGCTGGATCCCCTTGGTCATGAGCTCAGGCAGGGCAAGAAATGACCTACAGTGAGATGAATGTGGCATACGTAGGATGGAGCAGGAGCAGGGCTCGAGGGAGGTGTCCTCTGCACAAACAGGTTGTCCTGTCTATTGTTCCAGTGCCTCTTCCTGGGTTCACACTTATATCATCTGGTGGAGATGGGGCTTCCTGCACCGGGTTACTTGAAAGCACCTGTCACCTGAAAGAGTCCTGACCAGCTCTGTCCCATAACGGTATGACACGATCCTCCTGTGACCCCTAGTGTCTAGTAATCACATTTAATATAAAAAGATAAGACAAATAAATTCAGATAAATAGTATATTTTATTTATGTCAGTAAAGCAAAATACTATCATTTTCACATGTTATCAACATGAAATTATTTATGAGATGAATTACATAGATTTCTTGGCTATTGTTATTGTTATTTTTCTGGAGATTAATGATTCGGGGACTCTGTAGTTGATGGGGATGTGAATGGGTTTTCTGTTGATGAGGGTGACCTGCAGTGGCTTTTGATGTGACAAGTGACCTGAGTTTTACCTAGTTAATCGCATCTACATATCTGGTTGGGACTGTAGAGAAGAGCAACATTTGCAGAAGATATGGAAGGTGGAGGTGGACAGTGTCACCTGCAGCTCACCCCGTGGATGCATCTGTGGTCCCTGCATGGGATGAGGCTGCTCCGCCTGCCCTGGGGTTCTGTGCAGGGAGATCTGGCTCCGACTCTCCCTCAACCCAGAGCACCTGGCAACTCAGGCTTCCTTTTCTTTCCATAAAAATTCAAGACATCATCAAAATTGGCATTTCAACATGTGCTCTGAAAATTTAGGATAGAAACCGGAGTTTTCAGTGCATAGTGGCCTCCTTAGGTCCCTGATGGCCCATGCTGGGGACAGTTGGCCATTGTAGATGGGGTTCACTAGAAGCCAACTCTGCAATGGAGATTTCCACGCACAGAAGATTTAGGAGGGAGTGAGGGAGGAAACACCGGGCAGAAGGAGACCCTGACTCATGGTGGGGTTGCCCCTGAGGCCTCAGGTGTCCACACAGGGAGCTCTGGAGCTGGGAGGCCCTTCATTCAGTGGCATCTTAAAATGAGGCAGGGACTTGAGATCTTGGTTCATTAAACCCAACCCCTCTGAGAAGGGACATAGACTTGAGGCAGCTTTCTGTAACCAACAGCACTTCCCAGTAAGGGCGCAGCTCTGAGCTCCTGGGCTTCTCAGCAGTTCCAGGTGGGTCACATGGAAGAGGGGATCTGGGCAGACTTCACAGTGTCCCCTCCTCTGGTTTGCTCTGTTGGAAATCACAGGCTGCCACACAGCCTCAGGCCCAGGACCTCAGCAGGGCTGGGCAGCAGTTCTGGGGCCTGATCCAGACAGTTGATCTAAGGAGTTGCCCTGTCCCCACCATATGACCATCTAGGGGCAGGACAGTGGACAGAGGTTACCTCTGTGTTCCACCTAGGCCCTCATGATTCTGGTTCTTCCAGGCCATGTCTCTGCCTGATGTGTGCTCTGTAGAGATTCCGGAGGGGACTGGAGGGAAGGGCAGCTTGAGGGGCTCAGATCCAGGTGAACTAGACCAGATTCACTCATGGCTTTATCCTTCCGGGCCTGCAGCAAGAGAGTGACAGAGGCTAGGAGGGTGTTTTGGTCTCACTTCCCCATCTGCCTGTGTCACTGTGGGATGATCACTACTAATGTCCCACATCTGACAGTAATAGTCAGCCTCATCCCCGGCCTCGACCCCGCTGATGGTCAGGGTGGCCGTGTTCCCTGATTTGGAGCCAGAGAATCGCTCAGGGATCCCTGAGGGCCGTTCACTATCAGCATAGATGACCAGCACAGGGGCCTGCGGTGGCTTCTGCTGGTACCAGTGCACAGCTTCACTTCCAATGCTGTCTCCCCCACAGGTGATCCTGGCCGTCTGTCCTGGGGACACTGACACCGAGGGTGGCTGAGTCAGCTCATAGGAGGTCGCAGAGCCTGCAAAGGTTAAAAGAGAGAGAGAGAGAGGGATTGGCTTGCAGGTGAAAGACCCTTTTTATGAAATCCCTGCCCTGCTGTCCGGACAAGCTCCAGAGAGTCTGAGAACCCTCAGCGTATCCCCCGCAATCAGCCCCAGTGCCAGTGGCCCATGAACTTTCCTGTTGCGTGGAGCCTTTGAACGGAAAACCCACTACTCTCTCCTGGCAGGTGCAGCCGCTCAGGCTCTCACAAGCCTTTGAGCAGAGTGTGCGGGGAGTTCAGCCCCAACAGCCCCCACCCTGCAGCAGGGTCATGAGCATCCTGCCCACCACAGGCAGGGCCCCGCTGAGCTCAGAGTCAGGGCCAGGCTGGATCTAGAGCCCTGGGGCTTGACAGGTTAGTGAGACCCTGGGGGGAGCACCTGTGCAGTAAGCAAGGAGGCCGAGGAGGAGAAAAGTCCAGGCCATGGCTGAGGCACCGTCAATGCTGCCTCCTGAGGCCCAGGCTGGGCAGGTTCCTCCCAGGCCTCTCTTATCCCCAGGCTGGAGAGCGCAGCCTGTGATGCAAATCAGCAGAGTCAGCGGCTGCTGCTGGCGGAGATCTGTGGTTTCCAGAGAAGGGCTCAGCCCAAAAGGAAACAGAGAGAGGAGGGGTGGCCCCTGCTTACCCACCCCCTCAGCCCATGGGATTTTCTTCCAACCACTGGTCCCATAGTCTGGGCTCTCATCTTTACCCAAATGGTGCCCAGCCTTGCTCCTGGGCTGGCTTGTTCAAGCAAAAGCTCAGAGCTGAGTTTCTCTGTATTTTCTAGGGGATATAAAGTCCTTCCTGTGGGATAGTGCTTGGCCCTGTTCAAGATGTTGCTAGAGTCACAGTGGTGATGGGGGAATTACCTGGGGTCCACAGTCCCCTCCTCCCTTCCATCCTGGCTCAGGAGGGAGGTGGTTAGCTTTTGTCTGTGTCTCTAGAAATGTCCTGGTCATAACCATTTTATGTCAGATGTGAGATGTCTGGTATAGGCCTAAATCCATGTTGAAGACACATGCAGAGCCCAATGCAGGACCCTCTTCATTCCCACTCTACAGGGGCCAGCACAAGCCTTGGACAGGTACAGGCCCCACCCTAGGACACAGCTCGTAAGTGCTAGGGGAGAATGCAATTCTTGGTTGCCAAGTGCACACGGAGTGTTGGATGATCCATCTGATGTAGTAAGTTTCTGCCTTGGCTGTGAGTTCTAGTGCCAGGTCATAGGTGCTCTGCCTCAGTATCTCCAGCGTTCGGCCAGGGCCAGGGACAGATCAGGAGGTGAAGGAAATGTTGGCTTCATGAGAGAGTGAGAGGGAGCTGCAAACTCCAAGACCCTGGTAGTGAATGTTTGTTACAATTAAGTTGTCTTCAGTTGCTGGGAACATGTATCAATGGATAAATCTTAAGTCAACAAAAGATTAACGAGCAAGTATTTTGTGCCTTATAAGGAAATCAAGAGCTGTGATTTGGCAGGTTCCCCGGGACAGTTGGTAAAGACCAGGGACAGTGGACATTGAGGAGTGGCCAGGGAAGGAGGAGCCCCTGTGTCTGCTTCCCAAAGCGAAGGGCCGGGAGGCAGGACATGTGTGACTACAGAATGGGATGGCAAGAGTGGTTGTGGGATGGGGGCCGGGCGATGGGAAGAGGCAAAATGCCTGAATCTGCATCAGAAAAATAAGCACCATCTCCAAGAGTCAGATCTTAGAACCAGGAAGTCAGAAGAATTTAAACGCCAGTGTGAAGGACAAATACTCTAAGAAAAGGAGAACCTCTTTCCCTCCAGGTCTCAGGTCATGGTCACTGACCCTCCCTGCATGTCAGCATCTCCATGATGCCAGGCCCACCCCATCCCCAAGTGTTTTGGCCGGGTTACTCTCTGCTGCCCCCTGGTGGCCTCTCTACACTGTCAGCTGGAGGCTCAGGGGTCTCCTGGGTCCTAGCTTCAGAATCTGCTGCTGGGGTCCCTGATTCCTTCATTCATGGACTGCTGACCTCACGGAAAGAAGTTCCTCTTCTTGGTGTGGCCCCTTCCTGCCTCGGGACCTGGCACAAGGCACTCAGATTCCTGATGGAAATTTAAACACTCCCACGTGGAGAAGGAGGTGACAGGGCCCTCCTGAGGCTCCCTGCACGTCTCTCTGAGTGGTGGGTGGTCCTGAGGGGGAACTGTGGCTTGGTACTGGGGGATGCAGGACTCAGGGGTGGCTGTGACTGGTTCTGGCTACAAATACAGTGCCAGTGTGGGCTGGTGGTGATTCCTGCAATACAACAGAGACAGAAGCTCATTCACTCAACAAATATTCCCCCGACCCACTCTGTCCTGGCAAGACAGCATTTTAGGAATTCAGCGTGAGGAAGACACAGTCCTTGCTCTGAGGACTTTCCTGTCCTGTTGCTGGGTCAGTGCAGTAGGCACACTGGGTTTATAGACCCAGCAGATACTCCCTACACCATCTACCTGTGTGTCATCCCCTCTATTTAACTGAAAACCAGGCAAATTTCCAGTTGCTTCCCCCAGGAGTTTCCAAGTAGCCCAGCGCTGGTCCACGGGATGTAAGAGTCAGGTGGCTGAGGTTCTTTTCAGGGAACTTTTCCTACTGCGTAGCAAGGACTAGATTGGATTTGTGCTTTGCTTTTTCTCTTGAATATGGGTGTGATAACTGGAGCTGCAGCAGCCATGCTGAGGTCTTACATCAACAACAATGAAAGCAAAGTCAACACCGCATTGAAAGGGAATGGAGAGTTACAAACATTCAAGCTTCCTATGGAATCGGTGAGCATCTGGAATACAATCACCAAGGACATGCAGATTTACTTTTGTGGGAGAAAATCGGATGCTCCCTGGTTCCTGCCTCACGTGTTCTTGTAGTGAAAAAACATTTCTGACTGATAATGAAATGATTAATAGAAACCAACCAGTCAAAAGATAATGATAGAAAAAAAAAACGTGGAATTGTAAGCTCTCTGAAGATAATCATGGAAAGTTCCGACAGAAGCTGACTGGCTGGCTGCTGTAAATTCAGTGTTTGGAAAAGGTGTCCTTGAAGGAGTCCATGGAGCTCCTTTCAGTAAACAGTGAAGAAATAAGCGATGAGAGCATGTGCAGAGAGCTGTGTCTGTGCCCTGCGGGGAAGGGTCTCGGGTGTGTGAGGCTCTGAAAGGACAGTGGAAGGCCTGAAGGGGATCTGGGATGTAAACCAGTTCAGGTCAGATGTGACATTTGCTCACAAGTGAAGAATTTGGGGACAGGCATGATGTGTAGTGTGTGAAATTCACTGGTAATAAATTAGGTGATCTGGGGCAGCATAACAAACAGAATCACCAATCACCTCCAGGAAGATGCTACTGTGTAGGGACAGGTGTGGCTTGCATGGGTCCAGACCAGGTCCCAGCCCTTCTCTAGTTCACCTGGCCCTAAGGACACTAAGAAAGTGGTTCCTGGTCCCTCCCCTCTATGCGATGTCCACTCTGCAGTCCTGTGGGGACCCACCCTGCTGCCTGTGTGTCTGGCCCTTAGCCAGCTTTCTAGGGCCCCATGTGGGTGACCCAGCTCTGCTTTCCCTGAAGTTCTAGAGATTTGCTGACCCAGAAGCAGAGAATTCAGGGAGTGCACTTGACAAGGAAAAGAAGGGCCTATGAGAGGGAGTGACAATTCCAAGGTCAATGGGGAAGGAAGAAAGAAGAGCAAGATCAGAGAAGTCTTAGATCCGTAATGATGAGCTCCTCTTAGTGTTCTGGAACCATCCTAGGCTTGGAGAGGGGACATGGGAAAATCCTGAGCCAAATTTTTGAGGCCCTGATGCAAACAGCTTCCGCTTGTCAGTTCCTCCAGCTGCCTGTGGGGAGTGCAGTCTACCTGGACATGGAGTCAGTCAGAGCCTGGGAGGGCAGCCAGCTCCCTGCCCTCATTGGCCAGTTGAAGCCCAAAGTAAAAGACTCCAGATTATAATCAAACTTTGGCCTTTTAATGATCTTTCAACCTAACAAAATTTTTCACACAATGTTTAAGGTTTAGGAATCCCCCCCATAAAAATGATCTATCTAAGTTAATGTTCCATTAGCTCAACTAATACATTGTAGACATAGCAATACAATAGCATTTCTCAGTGCTTTTTTGAGCAGAGTATTATTCTCTCTTCTGTTTGTTTTTTCCATTTCCATGAGATATGGCCATGAATACAAGACATGAGCATTGATACAGTCAGCCTGTGCTTTTCCTATTCAACACATCTCACACCTGACATGCTTACCTTATGTAAGCGTCCTATAGTGAATTATGAAAAACACGGGTTGGGCCGGGCGCGGTGGCTCAAGCCTGTAATCCCAGCACTTTGGGAGGCCGAGACGGGCGGATCACGAGGTCAGAAGATCGAGACCATCCTGGCTAACACGGTGAAACCCCGTCTCTACTAAAAATACAAAAAACTAGCCGGGCGAGGTGTTCCCTGGGAGATGTGGACCACGTGTGTTAGAGGTGAAGGGATTGGGAAGCTTTCATGGTCTCCTCTTACCATCTCCCTTGCTTGTCTAACACAACTCTTCTACCACTACTTATTATGGCTTCTGCTCTACAAGCATACCTGACCTCTAAATTAGAGACACTTGTGAAGTACAGACAGATGCAGGAACTCATCCAACTTGGAGACTTTTCCCACCACTTGACCCACTGAACACTCCTCTGCAAGGCTCCTGAATTTCAAGTGACAGGATTTTGGGATTTCAAAGAAAACTCAATCTTTGGATGAACCATGACACAAGAGGGAAGCATCACACATTTCCCCCTGCTGCTTGGGCCTCAGTGAGGACTGACTCAGCCAGTCTCAGGCTCCTGGAGACCTCCTAGGTGATATGCACTAGAAAAGTCTTTTCAGTACAAACTGGGCAGGTAAGGGGCCCTTGCTCTGATATTCTGCTCTCATTCTGATAATTTGGTTTTCAGAGAAAACAAAGACCTAGTGATTCCGGGAAGTTTCAAAGCCCACAAGATAAGG